CAAGCAAGCCTTGACAGGGCAGCGAGGGGGACTGGGCTCCTCCAGCCAGCCCCACAAAGCTCCTCTGATGATATGCAGCATTTTGGAGGCCAGAGAAGAATTAATTATTATTGCTAATCAATGAAACCATCATGCCAGGAGCGGCCTGCGTGCCCCTTGCTGCCTGCTGGCCCCTTCTGGGTGCTGGCCTGGCATGCAGAGGTGGGGATACAGCCTTACCTGCCTTCCCCTGTTACTTCAGGAGCCCTAAATTCCTGCCGCAGCCCAGGCTGCCTCTCCCAGGGCCCGCCCGGCTGCTGGGTCACCGCTCACGGAGTGGCAGGGGGGGGGCCGCCGCATCCGGCACCTCGTGGCTGCCGGCAAAGCCAAGCAGCTGGCTCCCGGTCCATGCACCCACCACCCACACCAGCCCCGTGCATGCACTATGGCACATGGGGGACCCCCGGGCTGGGGGCTTCGTGGACCTGCAGCACAAGGCTGAGGGCTGGGAGCTCAGCACCGGGTGTTGGAGCATCCCACCAGCAGTGTCCATCACCCACCCCGCGACCGATCCGGACAGCCTGGTCCCTTTGGGGATGCTGGTGCTCAGCTCGCCTGGAAAATCTCCTGCGCTGGCACCCAAAACGGGCAGCGTTGTTTATCCCCGTATCGTGCACCGCATCCCCACCAGCACATGGGGATTAACAATCTTGACCTATTTCCAGGGGGGTGCAGCAAGGCTTAATTCACTGAATGCTTGAGGAGTGCATAAGATCTGCAGATAGAGCCATTATGAAGTGTGAGATATCATTAATTAATTCACAGGTTGATATAGTTATGCGCTTAGATCATCATCAGCTGATCCTGCTAATCCCTTCTTGTGCAAGTACCTGTGCGAGGGGGAGCTGCTGCCAGGCATCGCTTCGCTCCTGGCGAGCTGGGTCATCCCCGCGTCGTCCCCACGTGCCACCGAGGCCGGGGGGGTGCAAGGGGTGGCCCCCAGTCTCTGTTCCTTAATATCTCCTGCCCCTAAAGCTGCGTTTTCCCAGGGTGGGCCCACCGGAGGGGAGATGCCTTCTGCTCTCCATCAGGGGAGGGCACCCAGGGCTGCCTCCCCTTGAGCCAGGGGCTGAGACTTTTTCTCATTAATTATTTCAATAATCATTAAAAATAGGTAATCATTAAGCTGTTGATTTAGGGATTGCATTTAGTGCAGGCTTCCTCTGGCCTCCAGCCCAGTTTTGGAAAGAAACACCCCCCATGTGCTGCTGGGAGCTGCCGTTGCTCACCAGGAGCATTCGATTTTCACAAGCTCGCTATTATTTTTTTTAAACCCCAAGTCTTCCTCTTCCTCAGCTGTCCCATTGAGTGGGTGGGTTTGCTCTGGGAAGGCGCTGGAAACATCCAAACTTGCTTTGCAACCCTGTCCTGGGGAGAGCAAACAGGAGCCGGCTCCATCCTGCAGCCATGCCCGGGGCTCGGCTCGCTGCCACAGCCCCCCAAAATCCCCGGGAGCGTGTGCTCCCGTGGGCCTGCAGCGTTTCAGTTCCCTTGGGCTCTGCAAGGCTGGGGCACGCACGCCGGGATGCCCGGCAGATGCAGGCGGAGAGGCCAGCGGTGCCGCGGGTACCGCGTTCCACCCCATCGAGCCCATCACACCTGAGCTCACCCCGCTCTATTTTCTCCTGCCCCCTTCCTGGACCTTCAGATGAAAAAAATAAAAGCCACGACAGTGGAAAGTCGAGCTAACAAATACAAATAAAACTTCCTCTGGATGCTAAAAATGACACACGTAGACAGAGAGAAAAAAATTATATCGGTGACAATAACAGAGCACGGAGCTATTTCAGTGCTGGGCTGTTCCATTGCAGCACTCGGTGCTGGGGTTGTGGCTGCTGAAACCCAGCCACTTCCCCAGGGACGTGACGTATTTCCTTTCCATCACAAACTGATTTAGAAGCAAAACTTTCTACATTTAGGCAGTGAGAGACTCAGCTTCTCTTTTCTCTCTCGCATCGATGGTGAGCGAATGGAAGGAGAGATAAAGGGGGTGGGACCAGCGTGAAGTGACTGTACATGGCTTCCTCCTTTTTTTTTTTCTTTCTTTCTAAATTATCAAAAAGTGAACCAAAAAACCACAATTAATATTTTCCATGCCATGAAGGCCTTGTGTGCATCCAAGTGAGAGTTTGTGGCTCTGACCTGGCTGGTGCTCCTGCTGTGCCATGTGTGTGCAGCCCTGGGTGTGCCTGGGTGCCCGCTGCAAGGCCAGCCGTGCCTTGTCCTGCATCCTGGCAGGGGATCGTCCCACCACAGTGCCTGCTGCAGCCACCTGGGCAGATTCCTGCTCTGGACCATCCCCGTCTCCATCCCCATCTCCATCTCCATCTCCATCTCCATCTCCATCTCCATCTCCATCTCCATCTCCATCTCCATCTCCATCTCCATCTCCATCTCCATCTCCATCTCCATCTCCATCTCCATCTCCATCTCCATCTCCATCTCCATCTCCATCTCCATCTCCATCTCCATCTCCATCTCCATCTCCATCTCCATCTCCATCTCCATCTCCATCTCCATCTCCATCTCCATCTCCATCTCCATCTCCATCTCCATCTCCATCTCCGTCCCCGTCCCCGTCCCCGTCCCCGTCCCCGTCCCCGTGCCCATCTCATCCCCGTCCCCATCCCCATCCTCCTCCTCAACCCCATCCCTGGTTTCCATCCCCATCCCCATTCCCATCCCCATCCCCGTCCCCATTCTCCTCCTCAACCCCATTCCCATCCCCGTCCCCACCCCACCTTCATCCCCATCCCATCCCATCCCCATCCCCATCCTCATCCCCATCCCATCCCATCTCATCTCATCCCATCCCCAATCCCATCTCATCCCATCCCCATCCCCATCCCCATCCCCATCCCCATCCTCCTCCTCAACCCCATCCCATCCTCCTCTTCAACCCCATCCCCATCCTCCTCCTCAACCCCATCCCTGGTTTCCATCCCCATTCCCATCCCCATCTTCATCCTCATCCCCATCCTCATCCTTATCCCTGTCCTCATCCCCATCCCCATCGGCGATGCACAGGAGAGAGGGACCAGTTTGGGCTCACAGTGCCCTGCGAGAGCTCACTTGGCTCGGACCAGGGAGACGCGGCATGCGTCTAACTGCTCTCATCTCCAGCACAAATTAAAACCAAGAATGATGGTGATAATTTCCTAGAAGGATAAACATCCGATAGCCTTTTCTCTCCCGTTCCACCAAAAATAAACACACCAGCCACAAGGAATTACAGGCAGGGAGGAAAGGATGACTATAGTTTGACTGCAGGATGTCAACAAAGCATGACCTTTCATTTACACCGGTCCCTCTGCATTAACCTAACGGGCCAATTACACCCTCAACAGAGGGTAAGTATAGAAAAAGAGAAGGAGAAATCCAACTTTAGCAGACTTCCATGACATCTCTAAGTGTCATTTCCTCCGCTGCTAATTTTAGCGCCGATGGCAAGCCGGGCAGTGTGTTTTGTATTTTTTTCCCTGGGTTGCGGTATGTTACCCAGCTTCCTTTTTTTGTTGCTCTCTTTCCCACCGCGTCCTGCAGCTTCACCCAGCGGCGCATGCCTGGGGCGAGCCGGGACCCCCCTGGCTCCTGCATCCTCCTTCGCACCTTGCAGCCCGTCACCCCGACCCTTGCCGGCGGGGAGGCGAGGCTGGCAGAGCTTTGCAGGACCCATGCGACACGCCTGCGTGCGGCCGGCGTGATTCAGCCCCTGCGAGGTAAACAGCCGTTTCCTGCTGGAGGGAAAGTCCCGGCCACGTTTAACACCCCCCGGCATGGAGTGAAAGCCGCTCTCGCTGCCGGGGCTCCGGGGAGGGCGGCCAGCCGGGTGCAGGGAGCGGGAAGGGAATGGCACAGACCTGTTTTCTCTCTTGCTTTGGGAGCAGGTTGCTCTGGGACAGACCCAGGGATCGATGCAGGGGTGAGATGCAGCAATGGGAGCATCGCCATCCCCTCCGAATGATGCCAGAGCTCCCTGGGGGATGCCTGCTGTGGCTCTGCTGCGGTGCTGCACGGCCGCGGGCAAGTCATTCCCTCGTGCCTCAGTTTCCCCCGCCTGCAAAATGCCTTCTGAGGTCTTGCTCCCCGCCGTTTGTTCAAAGTGCTCCTGGATGCAGCCCTGGCCTTGGCAGGACAAAATCAGCTTTGTCACAGCAGAGCCACCAAGGATGCGCTGCAAGGAGGACTTGCAGGCGGGCAAATCCAAGCCTCAGAGAAAACCAAGTTGTAGATGAAAGCCTAATTAAAGAGCTAATTAAAGGGGAGGTCCGGCTAAGTGGCCAGTAGGCAGAGCTCTTCTGATTTATGGCTTTAATTTTGGTTTTGCTTTCCAAGAGAAGCGGGCTGAGGCAGCGAGCAAGGGCAAAGGCAGGGCAAGGCCCAGTTCCCACGCTGCCGCCCTGCATGGTGCTGCCCAGGGACCCCTCGGCCGGGCACCCCAGTCCGGCTCCTGCACCGGCGCCCCTGGGTGATGCTGGGCCATGCCTGGCATCACCTGCATGAGGGTCTTGCTGGCAACCCCCCCCCCCCCCCAGCTGCAGGGGGTCTGCTCCATCCCATGCAGCTGGCGCAGACCTCAAAGCAACCAGATTCGCCCGGTGCTGGCCTGGCATCGCCCCGCGCCCGCTGCCACCAAGGAGCCCCTGCAGCCCTGTGCGCTCCATCCATGTTTTATTCTGAAAGCTTCAGGCATTAAAGCTCAAGACCCCTGAGGTGCAGGTGGGACATGCCGGGGGTCAGGCCAGAAATGGGGCAAGGGGAAGAGAAAAGGGTGATGCCATCCTTCCCGGGACACCCGGGGTGAGCCGGGCCACCGCTCGGGTCTGGTGTGAATCTGGGCTGGTAGAAGGGTGGGGTCACCCTCGGCAGGTCCCGGGGTCTCCTCCTGGTCCGGGCGGAGGTGGCTCTGCGGTGCGGGGAAGAGGGTGCAGCTGCACAGGGGGAGGGCACGATGGCCGATGCTAATCCTCGTAGTATTTGGTGAGGAACTGGGTCGAGGCCACCGGGGAGCCCAGCTGAAACCGCTCCACGAAGCTCTCCATTGCCCAGGCACCTGGGGAGAGAGGGAGAGGGGGTGAGTGGGGCTGCGAGGCGGCCGGGGAGGGGATGCTCCGGGGCTGGATCCAGGCTGGGGCTGCACGCTTGCATGCCATGCACCAGCTGCTGCTCTGCCGCAGGCGCTGCAGACCACATCCTGCAAACAGCGGCAGGCGGGGAGGCAGCAGGCTCTGCCCCGCGGGGCCAGAGGGCAGGGAGCCATGGGGATCCCAGCCCTGAGCATCCCCGGGGGGGCAAATGGCATTGGCACCTCTCGTGCCCCCCCTCCGCCCCTGCCGACCGTAGGAGCAGACCTTCCCATTCTTCCCACGAGCCCATCCTGGCGTGCCTGGAAATCCCCCAGCAGCGCGTGGCGGAGACGGCAGGAGATCCCCTGGCCCCCTTGCTCGCATGCACTGAGCTGCTGCTCCACAGATTGTTGGAGCTGAGGGGGGGGGGTCTTCATTCCTGACCCCCTCCTCTGCTGCCTGCCCTGACTGGAGGATTCCAGAGGTCCGGGGGCAGCTCGTGGCTGGAGCTGGACTCAGTTTTCCCATGCTGGAGGCAGCAGGGAAACCCTTTCCAGGGCGTCAGGCAGGAGGGGTTCCCTTGTGCCCAGCCCCGTGGGCCAGAAATCCCCTTGCACCCTGCCAGGGTTCCGTGTCAAGCGTGTATCTGGCTTGTGGCTGGTGGAGCATCCTCCTCCCGGCCAGAGGGGCTTTCCCCAGGGATGACGGGACCCAAGCAGCTCACGCTGCCACCTCTGTCCCTGCCTGGTGGGACACTGGATGGGACATGGCCGAGGCATCTCAGGGGAGGGAAAGGGCCCCGTTGTTTATCCGAAACCCGTCCTCCCCTCCTCTCCCCTTCCTGGCGCTGCTCTTTAATGTCACGCTGCAGACTGGCAGCCCTTATCTGCCTTCACATCTCAACCCCAACTGGAGCAAACCGTCCCCTTTGCTCTTGCAAAAGTGCTGAGCAAAACCCGAGCTGCTGCATCACCCGCGCGGGGTGGCGGTGGCTCAGGGTGCCGATGGAGCCCAGCTCCTCGCACTGACTCAGGCCCTGCCGTGAGTCACCCTACAGCTGAAAAGCCCCCAAGGGGCTCTGCAGATGCCTCCGGTGCCGGCACTGCAGCCTGCGACCTCCTGGAGCTGCAAGAGGCCATGGCCGGGGAGATGCTCCAAATGCCTGGGAAGGAGGTCCCAGGATGCCGGGGCCGGACCCTGCGCCCCGGCAAGCCGGCTGGGAGGAGATGTTGAAATGCATCAGGGTGCTTGTGGTTGGGGGGGTCCCAGAAGGCCCCACATCATCACTGCCACCCGCTGAGGACCCAAACCAAGTCGATGGCAAGGACAATCCTGCCGCGCTGCACTGGGGTCACTGCCAGCCGGGGCACAGAGCCGCATTTCCAGCGGCTCTGGCTCATCACAGCAGCCCGAGCTCAAGGCGGGAGATGCCCTGGGCAATGGCTGCGAGCCCTGGTGCACTCCTGCATGGCCATCGGGCCCCGGTGCGTGCCCCAAACACGTCCATCCCCAAATAACACCCCTGGCAAGGAGGGGCAGCCGCTCGCTTCGGGGTCACAATCCATCCCCGCTTTGAGCTCCGGGGGTCCCGGCGAGCGTGGTGCCAGGGGAAGGGGCCTCGGGGGCTGGATGCTCCCACTGCGCCCGCGGCCCTTCGGCGGGTGCCTTTCATCCAAAGGCTTTCAAAGCACTCGGAAAGCCCCAGGGCCGATGCCCCATGGGACCGGGGTGAGAGCGAGATGTGGCGGCCCCCCGACTCCCAGGGGTGCCGGGAGCTGTCATTGATGTTCGTGAAGCCTCTGGAGAGGCGCGGATGAAAGGAGCCAGGAGGATGCAGAGCCGCTGCAGGGCTGCAGGCGCCGGCCCCGGCTCTCACCGCCATGCGTGGGGCGAGGGTTTTTCCTGACCTACTTTCCTACTTGCCATCACACCGGTTGTGCTTGTCCCTCGTGGGGAGCCGGGACCGGCCACAGGGAAAGCCCCGGGCGCAGCCGCTGGTGCGGTAAAGGGGGTGATACACCGGGCGGCTCCCAGGTCTGGGGGTCCGCAACCCCCACCCCAAATCCAACCCCTTGGCTGCATCTCCAAAGTGGGTGCTCCCATCCTGGCAGGACAGCCTACACCCCAGGGCAATGTCCCTCTGCAAACCATCCCAAATGATGCTGCTGCACTGGCGTGGGCCGTGAGTCACCGCGACCATGGAGCCGGCTGGGGAGCTGAGGTCGCGGTGCTGCCATCCCCTCTCTCCACCAGAACAATACGACATTTCATCCGTGGCTTGGTCCATTTTCAAGCTCATTTCCCGGAGGATTATATCATCGTGCTCGACCCTTATCTGAGCGCCCGCCGGAGGAAGAGGAGCGCCCGCTGACACCCACACGCGCGGCGGTCGCCCGACCCCTGAGCGCCAGGTGGGGAAACTGAGGCACGAGGCAGCTGCTGGGCTCAGGGAGCTCAGGAACCCTCCGGCCCCACAGGCAATGGGTGCACGGGGCTGTTTCACAGCCTGGCGGTCAAAACCTGCCCCCACAAAATGACTGGTCCCCTCCTCCCCCGGGCCCCGCAGTGCCAGGGGCATGTTGCCGGCTGTAATTTATCAGCCTCATCAGCGGGGCCGTTCTCCCTGATAGGAGCCCTGATGCTTTTCTGCCAAGATTAATGATGTCCCAGCGGAGGTAGGCGGGAGGCCGTTGGCTGCTTTGGTCACCATTAACTGACACCCGGGGACTTTGGCCAGGATCGTGTGCTCCCCGCAGCCCTTCGCTGCCTCCCATCCCAGCCACAGCCTTTTCCTCCCCGCCAGGGCCTGGTTCGACCCGATTTTCCGGCTGGGCGGATCGGAGGCGCATGAGGTCGGCTCGTGAGTCAATGCTGCGGCCCCGATGCGAAGCTGGAGCTGGAAAGGGATGGAGCCATGGGGAGGGCAGCCAGCTGGGCTCATCCTCAGTCCCTGGTCCCCAAAGGACTCGCTGCTTCCCAGAGGCAACATTTCTGGGAGGCAAAAGTCCATTCCCAGTTGTAAAATGCCTTTCCAGGGCAGGAGGAGGTTTGGGGATGCTGGGGAGCATCTCCCCACGCTCATCAGAGCTGGTGGGCATCTGGCACCGGGGCACGGCAGGGTGGAAGCAGAGGTTGATACGGCACTGCCCGGCAGGTGCAATTAAGCCTCAAGATCTTCTGCTAATTAAAGTTCCCCCACAAGGAAAAGGAACGAAGTGGAAAACAAACGGTCTCCATCCTCCCATGGGCTGCAGATGGGCAAAAAGGTCCCCGGTGCCACCGTGCCACCCTGCCGTGGCCGGCGTTTGCCGGACGCCCAAATTCCCCCGGCCGAGGGAGTTTCCCGCGGCTCACTGCAGCGGGCAGCAGAGCCCGACCGCCCGATTGAGAGCTCACAGCGGGTGCCAGCGCCTCGGGATGCGACGGGTGGCTTTGACATTTTGCAGACCACAAATGGTTATCTTACATCTCACCAAAATACAAACACAGCTTGTAACCCTCCTGGCTTGGGAGGGAAGCGGGGCGAGCGGGGAGGAAGGGCTTTGCACCGCCTGACAGTGCCCGTGTGGCCTCGGGGACACCCTAAGTGTCTCCATCTTCAGTCCCAAGCGGGAACAGAGCTGGTGCCCAGTGATAATTTAGTTGCAAAGCTGCAGCACAGGCCAAAAAGCGGAGTGAATCAGACACCAGTGGAGAAACTGAGGCTCCAAGAGGGTTATTTGCCTGAGGTCACACAGCAAGAGATCTGGCTGGTGCAGGGACTGATCAGAAACCCTCGTGGAGAAGGATCAGGGCTTTTTTTTTTCCTGATGAAACAGGTCTTTTTGCTCAAGAGCCACCCTGGAGAAACACCTCTGCCGTAAACAACCGATTTCACCATTGCCACCAGCGCCGGGCTTGCTGCGGGGAGCGGCGGCGGGGGGAGGCGAGCGGGGTGCTGCAGCCCTCCTCCAGCTCCGCCACTGCCGGCCCACACGCCCTTGGGCATGGCACCCAGCCCACCGCCCCTCGGTGCCATCCCAGCCAGGACATCCCCGCGGCAAGGGTGGGCACCGGAGCCACCGGCCACTGCGGAGCCAGCCTCGCTCCCTTTCAGCTTGCCAGCCTTGCAAAGCCGGGTGGGGGGGAAGAAGTAGCACAGATTTATTTTCCGTACTTGCCGTTGCCCCTTGCTTTTTAATTTCCCAGGGATTTGCACGAGCAATGGCTCTTTCCCAGGAGCAGGGACGCGGCGGCACGGGCAGGTCCTGGTTTAGTGCCCTCTTCTGGAGGCTCCAGCCCCTCAGCTCCGCCGCCGAGCTCCTGCCATCCCACCTGGCACACACCACCTGCCCCAGTTTGGCCCCACTTGGCCCAGGACCTTTCCCAGTTCAGCCTCCAACACCCAGCCCATGCCTGTGCTTGGGTGGGGGGCGAAGGTGGGAGCTTCTCCCCGAGCTGAGCGGCGAGAGAAACGCTCTCGTGGGGCTCCGTCTTCTCCCCGAGCGGGCTCTACCAGGGCACAAGCTGCCAGAGGGATGGATGCCTGGCACAGTGCTGGTGATGCACGGCACAGGGATGCGGCGCTGGATGCTGGATGGATCTGGAGGCTGGGATGGGCCAGCGCCGCTCCCTGCACCCACTGGGTGCTCTGGTTAGGATATGCCTCCCTCTCTGGGGCTAGCACCTGGTGACAATGGGTGCCACCATCTTTGGCGAGATGGAGGTGTCAGTGCCACCAGAGGCAGGACAAAACCAAAGCAATAAGAAGGGGCTGGTTTAAGGCCAAGCAAGATGGAAAACCCCAAGCAAGGCTGCAAGCCGTGCCTGCAGCGTTGCCGGGCGAACCCGCATCTCCTGTACCACAGGAGAGGACCAAGCCAGAGCCCTGGAGGAGCTGGCTGAGTATCTCCGCTGTGGTCTGCTGGGGTCAAGGTCAGGTTCTCCTTTCCACATGCCACCAAAGGTGTTTGCTCCTCTCCCTCGCGTGCTGCCTTCGCACCGCAGGGCCAGACCCCAGTGCTCAGCCACGCGGGGCTGGATGCGCCGGCGGTTCGATTGCTGTTCATCCCACTGCGGTCCCTGGGGATGGATTTATTTAAAATCCTTGAGACACCAAAATCTGGTCCTCTCTTGGCTGCCTTTAGGGCTCATGCCCTGCTTGCCGGCTGCCCTGGGAATTAAAGAGATGGGCTGCTGGCGAGCGGTGGTTCAATCCAGCAGCACCCGCTGGACAGGCCAAGCCTGTGATGCAGCAGTGAAATGGTTAAAAATAACCTTCAACCAACTACTTAAATAACAGCCTCTGCCAAGACAGCCACAGCTGTCTGACAAACGGCGATGCTCAGGCATCAGATGTTGTGGAGAAAATATCTGCTGCTGTTTTAACGGGTCTTTCCCAGGGAGCCTGGGAAGGGCTGAGAAACTTGAGGATGGGATGGAGACGGCGCGGAGCGGGGAGCACCTGGCCACCCTGAGCCTCGGGGGACGGGGGGACAGGGAGGGGATCTTCTGCAGGACACATGGGTCTGGTGCCTGAACCCCTTTGGATATGAAATTTAGGGGCTGGAGCCGCGCATCCTGCTAATGAGAGGATTTATTTGGGAAAAGCTCTTTGGTGGGTGTCCCAGCCTCCCTTCCCAGCCCTGGGACGCTGTGATGGGGATGTGGGTGCGTGGCCCTGGGTGACAGGAGTGGAGCCCCCTCCTCTGACCGTGCCGGGGACGAGGGGCCAGGGCAGTGCCCCACTCCGCTGGCAGGGGGGTGGCTTCAATGCACGTCATTAAGAAGCAGAGCTAATGAGCCAGAAAGCAAACCGAAGAGCAGAAATAACCCGCAGAGAGACTCGTAGCAGCAGCAGCCCGCTCCGGCTGAGTTTTGGGGTCTCTCCCAGCACGGGGGTCTGGGGACAGCGAGTTCCCATGGAGCTGCCCCGCCGCTGCCTGCCTTCCCCAGGATGCGCAGCGTTGGTTAGCATTGCACTGGGGTGAGTCAGGCCGGCGCAGACGAGACGTACCGACCTGACCTGCCTATCGAGCTGTGCTCATGTGGTCCCGGCTGGGAAAGTTTTGAAATTTCCCTTGCTGAGGCCACATGAGCTGCTGTGCTCTGTGCTCCAGCCCGGGCTGCACCGGCACCATCCGGGGAAGGAACCCACGCTTTGCATTTTGCAGGATGGGTCCTTGCCTGTGCCAGGGGTCCCACAGGAGACCCTGCACCCCAGGGTCCACCCGTCTGGGATGAAGCAGCAGGGACGGTCCCATCGTGTCCTGGGGGTCTCGGCTGCTTGCCTCCATCCTTGCCATGCAGCGTTTTGGGAGGCGGCAGCCCTGTCCCTGCACTGCGCGGGGCGGAGGGGAGCTGGGAGTTGGCCGGCGTTGTGTCAGCCCCGTTTGAGCAATCCCTTGCTAAACCATCCCCACGGCTGATCCTTATCTGTGTGCTCTGAGGTGGCGGTGATGCAACTCCCGAGGTTCGGGGGGGACATGCCAGCAAGGACTCGGCCTCATTTCACAGCCGACGAGACCTCTCCCTGCTTCCGATCCTGCTAGCCAGGCAGTTACCGGCTGTTTTGCCGAGGTTTTCTGCTGCCTTGCAAGGACTTCCCACCCCAGCCACGTCCCGTGTAAGGATTTGAAATCCCTTTGCACCAAACGAGCATCCCCAGCCCAGCACTTTTGGCATGCCTGAACACATGGCGTTAGCGCTGCAAATGCATCCATACCCCCGGGAAAGCCTCTCGGGGCCCAGTGCGGGGCCCGGAGTGAGGGCACAGCTGCTCCTTACCCAGCGAGACCCGCTCCTCGGGGCTCAGGGCGACGGCCTCGTGAGCCGGCTGCTCGTACAGGCGGAGCTGGTAGCGGTGGTACCTGCTGCGGGGCGGGGGCGTGGGCCGGACGTAATCTGGGGATGCAAAAGATAATGGCTGAGCATCCCGCCGAGCAGGACCCACTTCCCACTGTAACCATGCACCCACCACCTCCCTTCCAGGCTGGGATCGGCTCTCCCACCCAGTGCCGTGCACCGAGGGCCCTTGCCACGCTGGGGCTGGAGGGAGAAAGCGCTCAGCACCCCAGGTGTTTCACGGGTAAGAGCAGCCACCCCAAACCTGGATCCCCCTGCCCCGTCTGCCTGGGGGCCAGCTCCTGTTTTCCCTCTCCTGAAATAACCTGCTCCCAACCTCCGGCTGTGCCAGCCACCGCCCTCTCCTCCTCCTCCTCTTTCAACTTCAGAGCCCCGGGGTGCTCCTCGCCTCCGTGCCGAGTGCCTCGACCTCTCCTCCATCACCCTTCCCATCCCTGCACCATCCCTGCCATGCCCCCTCCCCATCCCTGCCGTGCTGGCTGCAGCCTCCCCTGGGTAGAGAGGACAAGCCTGACACCCCCAGCACCTCGCTGGTGCATGGCCAGCACCCCTTGCCCTCCCAGCTGCCCCACGGGGGTCTGGGGTGCCTGGCACATCGCCGGCTGGGCTCCAGCTGCTGGGCTTTTGAAGTCCTCCCGCGCCCAACTTTGGTGGAGGAGGATGCTCTTGTGGTTGAAGCAATGGGTTCTCAGGTGCTGGAAGTCTGGGGGTGTTTCCTCGCCTTGCTGCAGATGTTCAGCACGCAGGCGGGCACGTCCCTGGGTGCACACCACACCGCGTGCATGCCCTTAACCCAGCCAAAGAGGGAGCGAGCAGCGCGCAGCTGCCCAGATGTGGGGCCTGCAGCTGGCTCAGGGCGTAGCTGCATCATCACCGGCTGGCGAGGACAGAGAGGGCTGGTTGTCCCCAGGAGAGGGACATTCCCGGGGAGAGAGCCCCCAATGCACAGCATTGCCGATGCCAACAGCCACCCCTTGCCCTCCATCGGGGACGGGAGGACGTGATGCCAAGGGACAAGAGGCTGAAGCTCCTCCAGGACTTGGTCACCCGCAGCCGGGCGAGCCCCCGGCCCCTCTCCCCTGCTCCCTCGGGGTGTAAACTCCGCGAGCCTGTTTTGAACTGAAAGTCTTTGTTCGTGCAACATCACAGAAGTTGTTGTGATTCACCCGCTTTTATCTTTCTGGGGAGTTTTTTAACCACTTTTGCCTCTAGAAAAATAAGAGAAAAAGTGGCTCCTATTTCAGACAGCACCCAGCTAACCATGGCTCAGCTGCGCCCTGCGGGAACCCCTTGTGTCCCTCCCTCGCGTCCCTCCCTCGCATCCCGGCGAGCTTGTCCCCGCCAGGCACAGCCAGCTCTGCCACCAGCCCGAGCTGCAGGAGACCCCGTCCCCCCGTTGGGGTCTGCGCTCACCCGTCAGCACGTGCCCTTTGATGTCCCCAGTCCTCAGATCCGCACCCTGTGAAGGACAAGAAGAGGGGGTGAGGTGCTACCAAGACCCCTGGGAGAGGGACACAGGGGGACGGACCCCTGCTGCCACCCCCATGGCTGCACCCGCTTCTCCCTGGGGATTCATTTTCCAACATTTCGAGTGTTTTCCTTGCAAAGGTCATTAGGGAGCCAGGGCAGGGGGGAAGGAGCGCACCAGGGGCTTTCTTGGGCTATTTGGGATTTAGAGGCTCGATGCACAGTGCCCTGGCACACAGGCAGTGTGTCACCACACTGTCACCCGCATGTGGGGGTCATCAGTGATCCAGTGATCCGGGTCAGCGATCCAGGCTGTGGCACACTGGGAAAGCCTGCTAAAAGCCTTGGTGTCGCTCGGCATGCAGGGTTTTGGGAGGGATGAACCACGCCGGGTGGGAAGGGGCCAGCAGCGGAGGACCGCGGCGATTTGCACCGGCGTTCCCGCGGCAGAGCTTTGCCTCATCGCGGCGGTTTTGCTCTCAACCGAAACTCCTGCCTGGCAAGCAAGCCCCACCGCCAGGCAGGCTTGGCTCTCCATCCCTGGCCTGGGACGCTTCCCTGGAGGAAGGAGGCTTTGCCGAGAGCACCAAGCATCCCTCAGGGACTGGATTAATGACAAGGGGGCAGCGGCGGGAGCTTCGGCCGCATCCTGGCTCCGCACAAGCCACCTCACCCCTGACCCGCTGTGCTATTCCCGGCCGGCCCCCACCTCCCACTGATGCCGCCAGCGCTTGTAAATCCTCTCCTATGGCACCCGTTATTCCAGTCCTGCCCACACACGCGCTGCTGCCAGGTTTCCTCCGTCCTAACCTGCCCTGGGAGTTATTACCCCCCCAAAAAGATGCATCAGATAACTGCAAGCAAAAGTGCACGCGAGGAACATGGTCGGTTCCCCGGCTCTTTGGGATCAAAGCTTTGCTTTCTCCAAAAAGAAACCTGCTTCGCACTGACTCACGGCTGGCGACAGCCTCCTGCGAGCTGCCTGTGGCACAGCGAAGGTCACTGGGAAGCCAAGTGCCCGCTCAGGTCCCTGGCTATCGGCTCCCCAATGCTGGCTCGCCACCTTGGCAGCCGGAGCCGAAAATATCCCGATGATGGAGAGGAGGTGGCTGAGGTTTTGGGCAGCGACTGGCAGGTTTGGATACCCTGGTTCACAGGGGGAGGGGAAGGCGGTGCGCAGACTGCCGGGGGAGAAGCACCCCAGGGTGTGCTGAGGGGGGACACGAGGGGCTGCGCTGGCTGCTCTCTCCCTGCCTAGTCTGCCCAGATGTGCGAGCACAACCTGCCCAGATGCGCATGCCCGCTCCATCCAGATGTGCATTACCAGCCCACCCACATGTGCATGCCCGCTCTGCCCAGATGATGTGCATGCCTCCTCCATCCAGATGTGCACATCTGCTCTACCCAGCCATGCATGCCCAGCCCCTCCAGCTGTGCCTGCTCCCCCAGATGTGCCGGTCTCGGCTGTGGGTCCGGGCTGATGGAGGAAGCTCGTAGCAAACCCCAAGCTCGCCGCGGCCGGGCCGGCTGCCAGCCCCTGCTCTTCAAAGGCAGGGACTGAAGCTTTTTTCTGCTCAGGGTAGGGTTGCTCCCGTGCGGGGACCTCGCTGCTATTCCTGGCTTTGCCATGGGCTTATCGGGAGAGGCCGGGCCTCCTCCCTGTTTTCCTGCCTGCTGATGTGGGTTGCCTGCTTGCCCCGAGATGCAGTGGGTTCTAGCTAGCCCCGGGGATGGGAGAGTCAAAGCATAAAGCTCCTTTTAAGAGGCAAGAACAGGAAGAGGGCGGGAGGAAGAAAGTAGGGACGAGCACTGTAAACCCTGCCTTTTTTTTTTTTTTTTAATAGTAAACAGCTATTCTGAAAGCAAGGGAGCAAACTCCGCTTGCAATGGGCATGGGCTGCTTGGCTGCAGGAGAGGCTGGCGGGGTTGGGTGTGAAGCCCCGCTTGCTCCTGCGAGCTTTCCTTCCCGGGGTCCCGCTGCATCCCTGGAGAGAGGGGGACCTGCAGCTGGGAAGCGGGTTTCTTTTTTTTTTTTTTTTAATAGTAAACAGCTATTCTGAAAGCAAGGGAGCAAACTCCGCTTGCAATGGGCATGGGCTGCTTGGCTGCAGGAGAGGCTGGCGGGGTTGGGTGTGAAGCCCCGCTTGCTCCTGCGAGCTTTCCTTCCCGGGGTCCCGCTGCATCCCTGGAGAGAGGGGGACCTGCAGCTGGGAAGCGGGTTTTTGTTAGTGGCGGGGGGGAGGAGGCACACGGAGGAGAGAAAACCCCCCCCCCGCCGGGGGCCCCGGAAGATCCCTGCCACGAACGGAGCTAATGGACACTGATGAGCTGCCGTGTTTATTAATGCCCTTTTATGAGAGCATTAATAGTTCCTAATGACACCATTTGAGCTTCCCAGCCTTTTATCTTCTCTTTCTCTCTTTCCCCCGCCGAGGACACAGTGTAGGAGGTGGAATTAGATATTTCCACCCTCCGGTCCGTACTGTGCGGTGCCGAGTGCTGCTGCGGAACGGGATGCTGGTGGGATGCTCGCACGGAGACCTGGACAGCCTTAAAAATCTGTACCACACAATTTCTGTGCCAGGAGCTCCCCTCTGTGCTCTTTTCCTTGGCCAAAAGAGTGGAGAAAATTCCCCCGCCCCGTTCCCGACACCCCTTTGCCAAGCTGGACACCAGCCGTGCCGC